GTCATTACTTTTATATTACACCATATTAATAGAGGTATTTTTATCTTTTTTACTATAATTCAATATAATACTCCCTCCGTCCATTTACAAGGGTTACATTTACTTTTGGCACGGTATTTAAGAAATAATAGTATTGTAATTATAGTGAGTAGTTAAAAGTAGTGTAATGATATTTTTGCCCTTACTTTTTTGTGTAAAAGTAATGATGTGATGTAAAGTAAGGGTATTTGTGAAAAAAAGTAGGGTATTTAATGAAATGTAAACTTTGTAATTGGATGTCCCAAAATAGAAATACGTAAACTCTGTAAACAGACGGAGAGAGTATTAAAATTAAAAAATATACGTGCAAAAAGCAAACGCCATACTTTCAATAGATGGAGGAAGTATTATTTTTTATATTATCAACACGAGTTTTTTACCTCATGAAATATATATATATATATTAAATCAAAACACTAAGCAAAGAAACCGCAAAAATTTTAAGACAGACATATAAATAATTATTGTTATATTCACATTGATGCTAGCTGCTGCGTAGGCATATTTTTACCCATCAATATACAGTGATGGTAAATAATATTATAATTCATTAATTAAATTATATTTATTGTCACAACAATTTTAAATTTATAATCTCGATTAAATTTGCAATAATACAGCCAACTCCAGCAGTCTAAATGATACTAATACTAATAATAATAAATTATATCAATATATACAATTGTGGGTAGGTTTGCTGTATTCCAATTTGTTCACAGTAATTCGTCACACCTGTCAGTCAAACTTATTATTATTTCTATTTTTTTTTCGAAATTATTGAATTGTATGTATATAAATTAATTAATAGCCAGCCAACTATTCCAACAGAAAAAAAATATAAATTTGTGTCCCATCACATGTCATGATCCCCCCCCACACACACATATATATATATATATATATTAAGAAATAATGTCCATTTTCACAGCTTCTTCTTCTTCTTCTCTACCTCTTACATATATTCTGCAAATTTTTGAGATTGAAGCAATTAAATAAAGAAGAAGAAGATGAAGGTGAGTGAATTCCATGGAAGTTTTGGCAACTGAGCAGTCTGTGCTGCTGCTAACTATTGTTTCATTGTCTGTTCGACCTTGAATTATTTAATTAATTATAATCACTTTTTTATTTTTCTCTATATGTTTTTTATTTCTTCATTAAAAAATAAAATAAAATCTAATTAACCAATTAAGGGCTGGTTTTTTTGTTTTAGGTTATTTTCTTAATTAGTATAATTCCATAAAATATATCGACTTTTTCTATCTTTCTCAACAACCTATTTTAAGTAAAGTATTGACACACACTCATGTTTGTGCGTATGTGCATAAGTTGGGTTTGTGTCATTCTTTTGTGTATTAATTTTTTTTTTAAAATGAAATAATTATTGGATATGATATATTTTATATGAAAATTTATTATATTTTTATTGAAAAAATACAAACTTATTTGATAAAAATAGAAATTTGAAAAAAGAAAATTGGTATGATTAAGGTCGAACAGACAAAGAACCTATAGGGCCATACAAGCAAGGACTGCTAAATTGCCAACACATGCATGGAATTCAATACCCGAAGAATATCGATCGATCGAGATCTATTTGTTTGAGGTTCGATCCAATCTTGTACGTCATCCGTTTAATTTCTATTGTCTTAAAGTATATTACGTTTTTTTTTAGGTGATTGTCTTTTTGTTAAGGATGAACAAATTTGTCGTAATAAATGAATGAAGGGTAAAAAATGTAAAATTTGTGTTTAAAAAAAAAATAGGACAATAGCTGTTGGGAAAATAGGATATTAGTTTGTGGACTGAGGGAGTATTATTCATTTTTTTCCAAATCCATTAAATAAAACACTTGTTATTTTTATTTAAATATCATATCATTTTTTTTAAAAAAAAATAAAATATTACATCGAGTATCTATTTACATTATATCATATCATATACTCGTAATCCTATTTCAATCCATTTTTTACCTCTTGATTTTTTAAAACCTTAAATCTAATTCCAAACGAAAAGACGACTTTAGACATTTAGTGAGACAATGCATATGAACTTAGGATGTTTTTTATTTTTTTTAATAAAAATTTTCATTATTTATTTTCTATGGTTTTCAATAAAAATTTATCATTAATCTCAAAAAAATATCTTGTGTCTATATTGTATGTTCACAGTATCATGACTTACTTTCTAATTTGGTACATTCAATGTAAATTTCTTGCAAATTTCCGATAGTACATTCATTGTACGGTTGTAATTAATAGTTGTATTTTATTATTATTATTGTATGAATATTATTAATTGTGGCTCATTTGTATCAAGGCGCGGGTGTGTGGGGAGTATACAGGGGCGGATGTACGTGGAGCAAGGGGCTCCAGCCCCCCTCCACCACTCCACCATTTTTTAATTTTTAATTTTTAATTTTTATTTTATAACATATAATATAAAAAATAATAAATAAATTAAAAAATTGTTAAAAATTTGATAGAATATTTATGTAAAAATTTAAATTAAAATTTTGAACAATAAAAAAATTTATATCATAATAATTGTTTGATGCTATAAAAATAAATATGAACAAAAAAATAAAAAATAATAATTAAAAAAAGAAAAACTTTCAAAAAATTCTCAACTAAATACATAGGAGATAAATATTTTTAAGACCTATTTTTTTAATAAATATTTTGACTATTTATCAATTTTATATAATACAAAATTCATCGGGCAATATACAGTCACTGTATATTGATATTTTACAAAATTTTCGAAATATTATAACTCAATTGATAAAATTATTGGATAACGTTTCGCACCCTCTCATCCCGATCTGATTCCGCCTATGGGAGTAAACACAATAAAAGAATAATTATTGTTATCAGCTATTAAAAATTATTAAAATATTTAATTTTATTATTATAAAACTTTTTATTGAAAAATAATAACATATATTTATTGAAAAAATTATTAAGAATAGAAATTGGATATAAACAAACGAAGCCATATTATCTGAATTTGAAAATTAATAAAGATATATAAAAAAAAGTACTTCTTCCGTTTCATATCTATATATCCATTTGTTTTCTGCACGAAGTTATAGAAATATTAGTATTATATTGGGATAAAGTAGAAATAAAGATAAAAAGACTAAATTAATCATATTAATATTGTATAATATAAATGTAATGACATTTGTGTAATATATTGTAAATTTGAAAGATATTTGTAACGTTAGGTAGATTATACAATTACTAAAAAATGAAATGAATACTTAATTATATGACAAATCAAAATAAAAAAATAGATAAATTGTTAAGAAACAGAGAGAACAGTTACTATCGAGGATAAAATCGTTAGCCCCTTTCTTCATGTCCATCACACAAAGTAATATATATATATATATATGATATATAATATGTCTATAAAATCGAGGATAAAATCGTTAGCCCCTTTCTTCATGTCCATCACACAAAGGAATAAGAACACCGGCACCTCTTTTTATAACGCCCCTCCACGCCCCCGCCTATAAAGTTGTATATATACACTATATACATAGTGTATTAGAGGGGATGTGGAAGGACTGAGGTGTTAGTTAGAATGACAATGACTCCGGGTAGACCCGATATTTGATCTAATTATTTAGGATTTAGTCCAATTATTTGAGATATTGGGTCAGATATGAGGTCAGGTATTGTTTGCTTTTACCAGTCCGATTCGGATATTGAATCTAAGGGTAAACCCTACCTGATTTCAGACGCGACCCAAACTCAAACATAATAAATATTTTAATAATATATCAATTATATATATATAATAAATTCTAATAATATAAATTATATCAAAAATATTTTTATTATTTATTTATTTATTATTATTATTTTATAATATTTTTAAGTAAAATATATAAATGTTAATATATGTCCAATCCGAGTCAAAATGTTAAATTAAAATTGTAAAAAATTATCATGAATCTGCCGATTTTGTCGGGTATAATTAGGGTCATGTTCAGATCTATCGGATCAAGATATAGCCGGATCCAATTCGGACTTTGGGTCCAACAATGTGTATTCAGGTCGAATTTCGGTACGATCATCACATACATATAATGTACATTATGTTTACACAGGGTGTGTAAACTATTTATCATTTTTTTTCACCTTAAAAATATTAAATTAAACATCTATTTTTTTATATATTATACTCAAAATTAATTTTTCATTTAAAACATCACACCAACACCTATTTATATAACATCGTAACAATTATTCAAATTTAAAATTTTTAATATTCAAATCTCACTTCAAAATCCAAACGAACAAAAAAAGAAATTGAAGTTAGAGATCCATTTTTATTTGATATTAATATTTATTATTATTATTATTATTATTATTAAAACATGTGACTAACGTTTCCTAATATGGTTGAACCTATCTCGTTCATCCTACAATATTTCAATATTATTATGAAATTAGGATTTTGTATACATATATTCAAAATGTATTTTTTCACTATTATAATGCTGAGAAAAGAGAAAATAACGAAGAATGGTTAAAAAACTCTAATATAATACTAATATAATTATAAAAATATTTTCAATATCAAATATAATAATGCAAAATTTAATGTAACTCTAATTATTCTTCTAGCATTTTCAAAATTTCAAACATCCTTCTAAATTTGTTTTTGACATTGATTATAAAATATTCTTTTATTAAAATATATTATATATTATTAAAAAAATATCATTTAGCATTTAACTTTTATTATTATACAATTATTATTATTTTTACGACAAAAATATCTTTTATCCAATGTTAATATAATATCAATATTTTTAACAACCGTGACCCACCCAATCAATATCAATATTACATTCCACCTTTAGAAAATAAATAAATAAATAAATAATGGTACATGTGAAAAGGTAATAATTTAAAAGTACGGATTTGTATTGAAGAGGGTATGCTAAAGTAACAGTCACAATTGATTCCATCAAAAGCCCTCGTAGTAGTAGGTTCGGAATTCTTTCTAGGTCACTTTTTTACCTACCGCCGGTCGGAGCCCTTGATATAACTCGCCGGAAAAATGTCGTTATCGACGGCGAAGCCAGTGGCTACCTTCCAGATCTTTCCATCGACTGGAGCGAATAAGGCGCCTTTTAAAGTGTCGAGACTCTCAATGATGCAGAGACGAGTTCTTCCTCCTCCGCAGACTCACTTCGCCGCTCCAGATTCTATTCCAGTAAGTTTTGGTTTTCAGTTACTATTTCCATGTTTGTAGAGCTGCTCCAACAATTCTTCAGATGCTATTTGATGCGATTAGGTCGCTTTCACATGCACACATCTGTCAAAATCAGTCAAACTGAACTAAGACGAATGCTCGAGCATGTGTGTAAATAGTGGAATTTGCAGAGTGTTTAGTGGTCGTTAATCTTTTGTTGAACAGTTCCTTTCGCATTTATTGTTCACTTCGTAAACTAATTACCGACAATTATAGGAGACTGGTTTATTCTCAGAGGCGTTAAAATTGATGCGCGCAGAGGTGCAATGAGGAGTGTTGGTTATAATAAAGATTAGCATTTAACTGTACTAAGCACCATCCACATTTGTTCTGCTACATTAGAGAGCATCTGCATTCAACAATAGTCAGAGAATACATGAAGTAAATGTAGGCTCTAAATTCGTGCTAAACGTATGATTATTCTGTGAGAGATGTTGGAATCATGTAGAATTAAGTTTACCTGAAAGTTGTTGACAAACATGAGTAATATGCTGCTCCTTCAGATTGTTAACTATAATTGAAGATTTCCCAAGTACTTTTCTGTTTTGGTGTACATTGAAAATCTTGCTGCAGAATGTGCAATAATATATCATTCATAGAGGCCTTAAAATTCTTAGTAAAAGTAGACAAGGATGCTAACCATTGATCGATCTTTGATCACCTGATTCCAGGGTTCTTTAGGCTTCATCTGTTATTCAAGTAAATTAACACATATAATGTAAGTAAATTCATCAAATTAATAATAGATCCTATTTCACAGGAGCTTTGTTCTTGCTGTTCTTTTGGTCTCTGTATTTTCTAACCAAACAACTTTCGAAGATATATAGCCACTACTTGAATTATAAATTAATACAATGACTTTTGCATTTGATTTTCCTAGTTGCCTTTTTAAGCATTTCCCATCATCGATCTTGAAGTTTTATTGCATTCAAAAGATCGTTCTTTGTGATTTATCCACCAAAGCTGCTCTAACCCTTGCATGCTGACTCAAAACTTGTCTCCTCTTATCTGTAGAAATGTGTTTCATATTACAGACATAGCAATGATTCTTCTAGTTTGTAGAGAGAAACTTTTGTGAATGCCGGAGCGTATTCATTAACTGTGCATTATAACAGGGTTGGATTTACTTTGCCATATAAACTTTTATTGGATTGATTTCAGGTGAAAGGAAAAGAGAAGCCATTGTTGCTGGAAAACTTAAACACTAGCGCCACTAGACGAGAACTCTTCCATCTAACTGCTACTTCCCTTGGCCTTATGTCCCTCGTCTCCCCTGCATTTGCTGCTGAAGTCCAAACCAAAAATGCCTCCATACTCGAGAAGATCATAGAGAAATTTAATGAACTGACCAGTTCATCGAACCCAAAAGATGAAGCCAAAGACACAAAGCCAAAGGTGAACAATGGGGAAGAGAAGAAGAAGAAGAGCAATGGTGGCCAAGAGAAGCTGCCGAGCACCATCAACGGTAAGACCGTGGAAACCAGTGCTGTTCCATGATGGAAGGAGGGGGCACTGCTCAACAATCCAGGTTAGTCCATGATTGCCCAACTTGATAAAAACTTAGTCACCTCTCTTACCTTGATTGAGGAAATAACTGAATCAGCCTATTTGTGTGGCCTGGGCATACAATTTGTGTTTGGTAGAGTTATTATTATTATTATTGTTATTATTGTTGTTGTTATTGTTGTTGTTGTTGTTGTTGTTGTTGTGTTGAGATATTTTAGATGTTCAATTTTAGATTTAGTAGTTTTAGATTTAGATTGGGTATTATTCGTAATTATTTAGATTTGAGTCTATCGAATCTTTTTGTTTTATGTAGGCCATTATTTTGATGATCAAAATATGTCATTTTCCAGTTTTCTTAAAATATTTTGTATCATAGCCTATTTTTCTTCTGAAATAGATACAATATACCAATCCGCACTAGTACATTTAACCTGAAATATACCCGGAGGTCTCCAGTTTAGAGTCTTGGTTTTCGTCTGCATTTAAATTTGAATCATGTTTGCGCATCTATCTACAATCTGTGTGTCATATTTCTCTAGAGATATGTCTCTAACTGCATTAAGAGTCTTGTCGTTTCTAACTTTGTTTAGAGTGCCGTTGTTTTTTACTTTGTGGAGAGTACTCACGTCGTTTCCTGCCTTTGGTGAGAGTTTTGTGTTTTTCAGACTGAAGATAGAGTTTCGTTTTTTCCATTTCCGTATTATTAATTATGCCTAAGGTAAACAGGTTTATTTACTTGAGATTTGATTTTGTGTTTGGGTTTGGATAGTTGTTTGAATTTGAATATGATTAGTTGGGTAGAGATGTTTTGTTAAAATCAGTCTTGTTATGATGCAAATAGTTGTAAGCATATGTTCAATCATCAATTGAGTTCTCATAATTTTAGCATTAATTCATTTACATACATAGTAGTTTTAATTTCTACTTTTTTATTTTAATCTCATTTATAATGAACGAAGCCCACTAATTATCAACAGTTGGTTTGGTTAATAAGACAGTTTGCAACACATTAGTTTAAGTTTCATTCTTTTTCCACTTTTTGCTAAATCATTTATGATTTTGTGGAAGTTTAAACTCAAATTTTCTAATCACCAGAAAAAAATATAAAATGAAATAAAAAGATGTTGAAATATAAATCTGCAAATATTCAGTAATTCCCTGCGTTGATGAAATTTTCCAGTCGAGTAACATTGATGGAGACATTTAATTTGACAGTACTGCTTTATAGTATTTCATAATTTATGAATTTATTTAATTATTTTGAATGTCTATTGTTAATATATTTGTTTTTTTTAATAAATATAATACTCATAAAATGATAAAGTATTCTTATATTTTATTTAAATTTATCAATATATTTTTATTTTATTTTATAAATTATTGTTGTACTCTCAAGTGACATTTTGATCAATATACTACCAATAGCCCAAATAACACAAAATTATTCATATACTTAGGTAACAAAAATAAATATATAGATGTTAAATGAACAAAGGAAGTATCCACGTGCATTTATTTATATTTTAATTTCATTTTGATATTGTGTTGCTAATATTTTTATATTTTAAATAAAAATTGGGAAAAAAAAAAAGAATAATAACTTTGAAAATAATTCTCCATTTTAATTTATCTTATTAGTCCATGCCTTCTAAATGAGTTTGATCATTTCATGCAAGTATACATACGTACGTACAATTCTTGAACCATCAATGTATGGGATAAAAGAACCTTTTTTTTTTTAAATGGTATACAGCCGATAATACAATATATATGTTAACATAATAATTACAATAGATGAACTGACATCATATCATATAGTCTTATACAATACTTGATTTCAACACAACAAATATATTTATACAACACACTTGCAAAAAAAAATTGACAGCATATGTTTTTGTTTAATATGAATACGCATTACGTTATATAAAAACATGTATGTATTGTCTGTGTATTTTACATGTATTAATTGATGATTTGCTCCCGTCAATACAATACCCATACTTTTTTTCTTGAAGATATATAAGATGGTTACGGTGTTGATTAACTCTAGTCAACAGTTATGTTATAGATTGACGGTACGCAATTTGAATTAATATATACAACATGTATTGTGTGAAGTATTATAATTTTTTGTTAATTCATATATTGCATATTGTTTACTGTTTACATGTATTTTACCCTGACATCAATTGTGACATATTCTATATGGATTATTACTATACGTTGTCAGTTCATATACTTCGTTTATATATGTCAACATTCACCGTCGCTACACTACCACTATATATTCATATGTTGTCAGTTTATACTTGAGCTCGAATCCGGCCTACCTTTCTATTACTACACTCCAAAATAAATGGAATATGAGATGACAATAAATAAATACAATAAGTATCTCATTCTCACACACATTACATAACAAACCCTCGTTGATAAAAAATACATACAATCCTCCCATGGATTCCCTCAAGCTTTCACACTTTATCATCACTACAACTTTTCTTACAATTCCCATTCTTGTTCTTGTTCTTCCCACTTTGTCCCATCCCCAAATTCAAGAATTTCCAAGAAAATTATTGCTCGATCAAAACACTACCGACATTAATAATAATGATCAATCCCACAACCACTGCGGAGAAAACTGCCCTCCCTGCACCGTCGCGTGCGGCGGCGCGCCGCCGCCTCCGCCGCCGCCGATCACCATTTGCCCTCCGCCGCCACCGCCGCCTCCAATTTGCGCTCCTCCGCCGCCTTGTTGTGGCCGACAGTACCCGCCAAGCCCTCCTTACATATACATAAATGCGCCGCCCGGTAATCTTTACCCGATTGACTACCCGGGTTCGGGCTCGGGTCGGGTTTCCCCAGTCGGGTTGCTCCTTGCTCTTGGGCTGACAATTTTCGGGTGATGAATTATATGTGGTAGATTATATTTTTATTACGTGTATCTAAATTTAAATGTATGAATTATTTATATAGATTTTATTATATATTTTATTTTTGTATTAGCTGTGATTTTACATGGAAGTTCTGTGTATGATTTTTGCTACTACAAAAATAAATTGTATAATAAAATTTATATGATATATTTTCTATATTTATATTTAAACACGTAATAATTTATTTTATTATATGCATTTGATATGAAAATTGTATTGAGGAAAATTAAATAAATCCTCTCCTAGTACTTCGTCACATATGACTCTCTAACTTGCTGATGGATATTTGTGGATTCATGGATTGTGTTTGTTTATATATATTTTTTTTAAATTTTAATTTTACACTACGCAGTTTTTATTTATTTATTTATTTTAAAAAAACATTGACCATATGCATATCTTTTGTTAATATTATTACATTAAAATTTTTATTTTTATTTAAAGTGTCATATTCAACACTATTCTATTATTATTATTTTATCTAAAGTATTATATTTTGACAATAATAATTTTTAATTCAAATTTGAGATTATTCTCATAATATCTTAAAACACAAAAAACAAACGTGTGTTTGGTTAACCATTAATTTTTTTAATTTTATTACTCAATTAAAATAATTTCCTATATGTATATATATATATATATATATATACATTACTTTCATAGAACATTCAATTCACACTATTATTTAAACAAAAAAAAATCAACAACAAAATTTTGAAAAGAAAAATGACAAAGAATAAGGCTCTGTTCACGCAGTTCTTTAGGATGAAATACTTTTTGGTGTGTTATACGAAAAATTGTGTAAAAAATATAAAATATACTCTTGTTATTTTGAGTTGAATATTTAACTTTTAGTAATGATATTTTGACTTTCTATAACGAGTATTTTGATTTTTTTGACTTTTGTATAAAATATTTTATATTTTCAATTATTATTTTTAGAAAATCGCAATTAAAAATATAGTGTTGAAAAAACAGAGCATAAACTTTTGAAATAACTCAATTTATTTTGAATTTCAAATGATTTTTAATATATAATTTGAAATGAAAGTTTCAAATATAATAAATATATTTAATTAAAAATAAATTTAAATATCATATAAAATAAAAATCATATATTATTAATATAAATTATTTTTATAAAATTATACTTGTCATAGAAATTTAAATTTATACATGAATCATAAAAAAAAAATTAATGAAAAGAAAAAAAAAACAATATTTGAGATGATCATTTTGAAATTAGAAAAAAAAAAACAAATATATATATATATATATATATCAAGAATATATAAAGTGCCACATATTGCTAGAAGGATTTGAAAAGTGAAACAAAAGTTATACTCCTTCCAATCCCGGAAGCATAAAAGTGGGGTAATATAATATAGTTATGCCATTTTTATTTTTATTTTTATTCATATTAAATTACATTTTATTCACTTATAATTTTATTATTTTTATTTTAATACTATTCGATTTGGAATTACTTTTTCTTCTTATTACATTATTTTTTTATCAATAATTTTTTTTATAATTTTTTTTTTCTACTCTATTTGTATAAATATCATTTATTAGTCTAATTGTCCAAACAAAATAACATAATTAGTTGGATGGATGGAGTATAAGGTACCCAATTGAATTGATCAGTTTTTTTTATTGTGCTTTTTATGATAGTAAAAAATATACTTTTTTTTTTTTACTAAAGGTGAATAACAAAAAGAATATATTTGTAAATATTTACTTTTGAGTAGTTAAAAATAATATAAAAATAATTATATTCTTACTTTTTAATGTAAAAAATAATAATGTAATGGTGAAGTAAATATATTTATGAAAAAAATAAAATATTAAATAAAATAAATACTTTATAATTTAATAATTCAAAATAGAAATACAATCCCTCCTTCCATTAAAATTAGCTCATTTGGGTTTGGTATGAGAATTTAAAAAATATATTTTATTGAAAAGTGATAGATAGTTGAAGGTATTTTTAAAAATTTAGTTAAAAAATAAAGTAAATGAAGAGAGATAATATAATACAGTTAGTGATACTCGTTGTAAATAAGTGTTAAATGAAGGGTAATAATTAAATGTTGATTTGTTGGCTTTGCTAAAATTAATAATGAGATAAATTTAGTGAACAGATTAAAAAGAAAAAATGAGAATAAATTTGGTGGACGGAAAAGATATGTACTCCCTCCGTCCCATAAGTAAGTATCCATTTGTTTTTTGTACGTAGTTTTAGAAATATTAGTATTATATTGGGATATAGTAGGAATAAAGTAGAAATGACTAAAATAACCTTATTAGTATGTGTGATATAAAGGTAATAACATTTGTGTAATATATTGTAAGTTGTAAGGGTATTTGTAATGTTACGTAAATAGTACAATTACTAAAAAAAGAAATGAATACTTTGTTATGAGACGGACGTAGATAGTACATTTACTTAAAAAAAAAAATAGATACTTTGTTACGAGACGGACTAAAATGAAAAAATGGATACTTTATTATAGGACGAAGAGAATATTTTACAAGTGAGCCAATGGAGTATTAAAAACAATAATATTGTCATGTTATAAAAAAATAAATAATAATAATAATAATAATAATAATATTTCCATGGAATCCAATTGTCAGAGATTGTCAGCCTGAACTGAAGAGAACAGAAGGCATGAATCAACTTTGAATTTACCAAACTATGGGACCCATTTGCCAGTCCAATTTTGACTCTTTATTTTATTTTTATTTTTTATTTTTGTAATTTAATTAATTATTTATATTTGAAAATTCAACAAGTTTGTTTTTTTGTCTGTCATTTGGGAAAATCCCAATAATGTAATTAATTGGAAAGTCCAAAGACCCGAAACGTTACGGAAAAGGCAATTTTAGTGAAATAGACGTGAAGGGCATTATCGTCTTTTCTTTTGGGAAAGGTAGAGACATAAAGCGTGTCCCATTTCGATCGCGAAAGTAAAAGAGAAAGCTCACCAAACTATTCCCCTTATTTTTTATTTTTATTTTTATTTCATTTTTTTTATAGTGGGCCCCTTTTCATAGTTCATTTAATTTTGTATAGGTGTAAGTTAGCCCTTAAGAATCTTAAGTAATTGTAATTAATTGTGCAATTAGTTGGTAAATCAATACACTTGTAGCTAACACATTTATTTAGTGTTGTTTATTTGTTTGTTTATTATTATTGTTATAAGTTAAAAGTATTTAATCTTTAAATATTAATTATTATACGCTCTCCGTCTCGTAAGAAGGTTGTTATTTGGTTTGTATTTAACATTAAAAATATATTTATATTTGAATAATTTACTCAACAAATATCATTGTATTTGTATTATAAGAGACTAATAAACGTATTTTTGTCTTTTTCTCTTGATTTATATTGCGATATAATAATTAGGGTAAACTATTTTTTTGTCTTGTAACTGGACCCCTTATCATTTTAGTCTCATAAGTGGAGCCTATCGCAAACTAGTCCCATAAATGGAAAATTTTCGTTGTTTTAGTCCTTCGGCGCCAAAGACGCCCGCATAGCTCGCCGGAATCCACGTGTCCGCTAGGTGTCCCACCAGGTTAGCGACACCTAACGAACACTTAGATTTTTATTTTTTATTATTTTTTTCAATTGGATCAAATAAAAAAAATTAAAAAACAAATAAATTTAAAAATAAATTTTAAAAATCCACATATTCGCCAAGTCACCGACACTTGGCGGACACGTAGTCTCCTACGAGCCATGCGGGCGTCTCCGGGGCTGGAGGACTAATACAACAAAAAGTTTTCACTTATGGGACTAGTTTGCGACATACTCCACTTACGGGACTAAAATGATAAGGGTGTCCAGTTCGGGACTAAAATGATAAGAGTGTCTAGTTCGGGACTAAAAAAACAGTTTACCCTAATAATTAATATTAAAAAATTAATACGCAAAAAGACCATGACAACCTTTTTGCGGGACAGAGATAGTATAATTTTTTAAAAAAATGACAAAAATATCTCTATTAGTTTCTTATAATACAAATATAATGATATTTATTGAGTAAATTATATACATGTAAGAATATTTTTAATATTAAGTAAAAAATATATATATATACCTTTGTTATGACATGAATTTAGTATTATTATTATTATTATTTTATTTTTTTTAAAAAAAAAACATATTGAAATTAAAAAGGAAAGAAGAAATCAAACTCTAAAAGAACATACTCGTTGTACGCGTGTCATGAACATGAAAATTGCATAGTCATGCTTTTACGTATAATTATTAATATCTTGTCTATAAATAGACAAAGATACATCACATGCGATATTCTCTATCATTTCTTTGCTGGGGGTAGATTGGTCATACTCAAGGCCTCATTTTTTCTTTTTCTTAATTTTAATTTTTATTGTTATTTAATTTACTAATTTATTGTTAAAGAATACAGAATACTATATATACAAACAATCTTTGTATAAATAAATTATATCCAATAATGATTTTCTCTTATAAAAAAATAAATAAAAAATGAAGATATATACCCTTGATGACTTGATGTTAAAAAATAAAATAAAATAAAATAAAAGTGAGCATTGATATAACTTGTGAATTAAAAAAAACCACAAAAATGTTTTAAGAAGTCCGATGCTGCAGCAAGACTGTCACTGCAACCATGCTGCAGTCTCAATTTGTGGGTTTGACATTATCCAGTCTAATCTATTAAATGTCCACAAGAGACAAACATGACAGTTTGGGCATGGTCAGACTCGTACAGAATCATTGTAGAACACTTCGTCCATTTTTATGCTAAGAAAAATTAATGTGAAGTGTGTTTTTTCCAAGGTTGCATGATATATACAACCAAAGAAGACAAGCAAATTGGTGTGTGAATTGGTGTGCATATTTAGAGAGAAGATTATTGAGAAAAGTTCTCACCATCCATTCTGTTCAACTCTCCACATTTTGAACGTGTGTTCTACAGTGATATCAATTGGAGAGGTCGAAGGTGTTCGAAATTAATGGAGTTCCAACCGGATGAAATGATCAAGCTTTGGACTTCTTTGATGTGTGGTTGTTGTTAGTACGAGGTTATATCAATGCGAATCTGAGGAGGTATTTTTCTGGGTTAGCTATGACAAACATTAGAGTTAAATGAGTTGTGTCCTTAATCAACACTGGTAAGTGAAATTCCTCCTGGATTAGTATCTCCGGATGTAGATTTGTTGATAATCGAACCGGATCAACAAACACCTAGTCTCATTGTTGTTTCATGTTTTGCATTGTCTTTCGTTGTTAAAAAGTTGTTATAACTGTGAACTGCCCACGCTTCGGAAGTTGGCCCTTTAAAGTGTTCGAATGTATTTTGTTCGATAAATCACTTCCCCAACCTAATTGAAAAGTTTTCATATATAATATATATATATGTCAATTATCATATTTGACTTTATATGAAATTTGATAATCAACTCACAATATAATAAAAATAATTATTAGTACACATACTTTATTTTCAATTATTATTATTGTCATTTATTTGATCATTATTTAGAGATAATAGTACTTTTTGGTTGGAAAATAAGTGCTCTATGGGCCGCTAACAACAACGACAATAATTTATTATTATTATTATTATTATTGAGCTTAATTAAAATAGAGTGGCATTCATTATTGAAATTTTTAAAAAGGGACATAAAAAACATATAAGTAATAACATATATTTATATTTATTTACTTATTTATTTTCTCAAAACTGAAAGAGACAGACAAAACCAAACCAACCTTTCCTTTATCTCTACCCTACATTCATACTTTAATTTTAATTTAATTTCATTATAATTTAAAGGTCAGGACAAAACCTCTAACAACCCAAAGAAAATAATAATAATAAAATACAACCAAAAAGATAATTATTTAATTAATTAAAACAAGCTGTTTTATTTTTCATCATCTTCTTTCAATTTTCCCATTTCTGATGATCAATAATTTCTCCCAAACTCCACTCTACACATCACAAAAATGGCGGAACCTCTCACACAAACCCTAATCCCAAAATTCGCCGTTATCCTCACAACTCTTCTTCACTGCTCCATCAAAACGACGTCGCAGCAGGAGTGTCCGTACCCCTGCTACCCGCCGCCGACCGGTCCGGGGAACAACCCGCCCGCCGCCACCACGCCGCCGGCTTTCACCACTCCGCCGGCTCCTTTCTCGCCGCCGGTTTCCTCCACCACTCCCCCCGCCGCCGGCGGATTTTCGCCATTCTCCCCATCACCGCCGTATTTTGGCGGGGGCTCGACGCCGCCGCCGCCGGATCCGATAGTCCCGTGGTTCCCGTACTACTACCGGAAACCGCCGCACGGAGACCAGTCCTCGTCGCCGACGGCGGCGGATCACGGAGGACCGGCGGCCGCCGCCGCCGTGATTCTGAGTTTGTTCTTCGTTTTATTTTTCCGTTGATCGGATCATATATATATATATATATATTAGCTTGATGAGATTATGTTTTCTTATTTTTCCTGAAAATATTGCAAATATATATTTTATTTTATTTTTTTTTATGAAAAAAGAAAATAATTTAGGAGGTGAGAAAATGACAAATTTGGTGTATGATATGGTGATGATAATAGTGATGGTGCATCAATGGCAATACTGTTCTTTATCTTTTACGTCATTTGATGATAGTGTAATTATTATTTGTTGATTCATACCTACTTTTTCTTGATTTTTCTTAATTTCAATCTTTATCTTAATCCTAATTCTTTTTTTAATCATTATGGTCTGTTTCTTGAATATATTTTTATTGAAAAAAATTTATTATTAAAAGATTTGAGAAATTTTGTACAAATATATATATATATATGGACCCTATAATTCTCACACACTTTATTATATTTAATTTGAAGGGAGAAAATGATGTGTGGGTTTGAAAACAAGCCATAATCAATCGTGCATATTGACTAATTTTTATTCTTTCAAATTTTGTGATGATTAGATCAAAAGATTAATATATATACAATTTTATATTTAAAAACTATTGGATTATATATATAATCTATTTAATCATATAAAGTAATTGTGTTTAGAAATGTACTATATAACAATACGTGGTGTGTTAAAATTAATTGTGTATGAACTGTATGAGACTATATTATTTGTTGTTAGTTTATATTGCATTTCTATTATAGTAATATATATTGTGTGCCGTCATTTAACACACGGTGTGCTGTCATAATTATATTTTTAAAATTAGCACCATAATTGCCGCCGTAAACTATATTTTTTAAAATAAATATGTTTTTTTTTTAAAAAAAAAAGCCTTTAAGCCTGACCTAATTCAATCGGTCCTTGATAATACATAGTTGACTCATTTTTCAATTCGGACCATCGGATTCGACCCAAATCTTTTAAATCAAAATCTTTTATTTCTAAACCCAAACCCTGTTGGAGACTTGGAGCCTAAACCCAAGTTCTACATTGGAATATGTGATATTTTTTTTACACCTTATAAGTTCAAAAACAAATTTGTGTGGACTCAGTTGGAAGCGGACAATATCATACTAGTTAAATTTGTTCAATCACAACAAATCCTACACCCAATCAATTTTGTTATAACCGCGGGAGTTATATTAGTTAGAGGGATTGGGGTGTGTTTATTTTGAAAAAGTTTGAAAAAATTGGATTTTGATTTGTATTAGATTAGAAATTTAAGATGTGTTTCGATTACCTTAGAATTTTAAGATGTGTTGATATTTGTGTTTATAAATTTGATTTTGGTTTGGAAGTTTTGACTTGTATTTGATCTGATAGTTAAAAATATAATGATTTAAATGTGCATTAATTAAATTAAAATTAAAAATATTAATAATGTGATTTAAATATTAATTTAATTTAATTATAAAATAAATATTTACGGCCTAATTGAAGCTAAACTGCAATCTCCGGTGAGTAAAATATTTTCAAACCATACCGAAGAAACGCACCCTTTAGATGAGGTGTCGAGGTTTAGAATGAAGCTTGAGGCGCAGTTATCATAATGGACTGTCCATAGTAATTGTGTCGAATATCGTCGTTCCTATCACCGGTAAGAAGATCGATATCAATTGAAGTTCATGTTCGTGGGAGATCAATCTGCCCATTGTCGATCGCCTTGCCGTTAGTTAGCCGGAGAAGAGAGCCTTTTCCGTTCGTAGGAAAAAGTAGCCGCTGCTGGTTGTGGGCTGCCGTTGGAGATAGGACACCCAACTCGTTCGTCCTTGGCAATATAAACATTTCGAATAGGAATATAAATTCATACTAGTGGGTACCAAAGCCCCGTGATTAACCGATTACAAAATTAAATGAAAATTTTTTTTATTGAAGTTTAGGAGGACTCCAAGCTAAACCTATGTCTATTTATGTTTTTATATATTAATTTTTTTGTAAAAATATAGATAATAATATGATGAAATCTCCCTGTTATGTATTTCTTGCCAATTAGTAAAATAATATTGAAATACATTGTTGTTTCTTTGAATTTTGTGGAATTGTTTTTTTTGGATTTTGTGTGTGCACTGGGTAAATCTCAACCGAACCTAATACTCGACGGAAAAGTCACACTAGGTGAACCATATATGGCAGGTGATCTGAGGCGTAAAGTAAATACATGTGACATGACATAAATTTGAATAATGGAAATATAAAATTTGTTATTTCTTTTTACATAAAATATTTTTTATCTAAATTTTTGAAAAAATAAAACCAAACTCTACAAAAACACAAGCCAAAAGTTCTGGGATGATAAAAAACTTATTTGAAATGCAGCAAGGAAGGATTTCATCATCACAATACATACCACTACAATATACACAATTCAATTACTCCTCAATTGATAATAGTTTCATAAAACATAACATCAACTCCTATTTTCATTCATATTCAACTATCATTATTATTCATTACCCCTCTCTCTCTCTCTCTCTCTTCTTTCTCTCTCTACCAGTATAGTATAGTATAGATAACTTTCTTTTCCTCTGATCTTCCTCTTTGATCATCAACTCAACTCAGCTCCTCTGCTTCCCATTAAATGTCTTTCCCTTATACATCTGGAGGTGCTGCCTATCTTGGGGCGGTGCTTTGATTCTCCGGGATCCGACGGCGACCTTCTCCGCTTCCATCGTCTTACTCATTCCACGAGATGTCGCGCTGCTGTCTGAAGTCACCGTAGAATGGCAGCTAGTCACCGAGGCCTGTGGTTGATCACTTGTTGGCTTCCCAGCTACCCGGCTTCTCGGAGTCCAAGATTTACAACCTTGTTTCTCTGGCTGGTTATTACCACCTGCTGCTGCTGCTGCTGTTCCTGACTGGAGAATGTGAAAATCTCTATATCAGTAGCCATGAAAATTGGATCTTTAATTTCAGTCGAACCATACGGACAATGGGACCGCGAAAACAATTTGATCCAAAGCGTATTCTTCAGGCAGCATTGTATAAGCTCATAGATTTGATGACAAATTGTTCCAAGAGAAAGCTCATGTTTTAGGGATTTGTCGAGGGTACCTTGTAAAGTTCGTGTGGATCAAGTGATGCACGACGATAAAAAGAAGGCATGGGTATGGCTTTGAAGTTGAGGCTTTTCCTCAATTGCTTGATTTCGGCATCTTTCTTCTCCTGCAGAAATCGAAATCTTGACTTGAGTTTCATATCATATATATATATATATATAAATCATCGATGTATGCTATGCAAACAAATATTGCTTCTTAAAGAAAAATTCGACAACTTATAACCTGAGTCGATGTCTTGATTTGGTGGATCTTTGCTTCCCTGGCATTCATCTTCTCCTCTAACTTCATATCAAACTATAGGCGAATAAATATTTTATTCAGGCCCGTACACATGGAATATACAAGATTCATTTTAGAAGACATTATTCGGATCATTTACCTCTTTCCTTCTCTGAGCGCGTTCGTCGCTTTTGAAGCTGAACCTCGAACTATCCAATCTCACACTCATCTTATTTCCACTGGCGACCGGGTTAAACCTAAAAAGCATAATTGATGAGACGAGATTAATTCAATCTGGTGTATGGAAGTACACTACTATGCTTACAAACCTGTTTCCACCATGATGCCCTCTACTGGATATCTTCTCGGTTGTAGAAGGCCGAGGTCCCATGAAACTTCTACCCGTCGATTGTTTTTCAACTCTGCAATCAACGAATGTAAACAATCAAGAAATGGCCTCAACTGAAATATGAAGTAGGAAATTAGAAATCCACCAGTGAAAAGCCATAATTTTCTGATACCTATTAAACACTTCAGGGCACTTCGGTTTCGAGCCAAGCTGAGGTGAAAACAAGAAACACGCCAATAAATTAGGACCGTGAAATGCTCGTTACTGCCTGAAATTTAAATCAGCATTAAGCAAAGTGAGAGCAACCTTGTATTTTGAGGCTTCATTCATCGGGGATCGTTTAGAAGCTGGTGAAGTCTTCTCCGATTTGGACCTCGGAACAGCTGTTTGATTTACCTTCTTTTCAGCAACTTTAGATGCATTTCTGGTTGGGTTTCTTCTCCTTTGTTCAACTCGATCTTGAGGAATCAAACTTTGCTTCGGGCTGTCAGCGAAGGGTGGAGTCCTTTCCTGCATCTAAGGTTCTTGATGGTTAACCAAAGTCGATCTAAGAACACAAGCCACGATATATATATATATATATATTATATATCGGAGAAAACAAACCTTGGGAGATGAATCTTGTATGTCATTTGGACTGGGATTGGATTTCTCTCCAATTTTATGATCGATGGAGAGATTTTGGATCACCATCTGCGGCACACGCAATTCATCTCGATTGCCAGATTCACGGTCAAGATCGCCACTCATTTTAACCCCTGATTCCGAATTTAAAGTAACTGAACTTCCATCTCGATTTCCAGATTCACGATCAAGATCACCACTCATTTTAACCCCTGATTCCGAATTTAAAGTAACTGAACTTCCAATTTCGACACCGTCTACTGCATCCACACACTTCACATGCTCGGAAGTGCAATCAGAATCACTAGACTTGCTTCCAAGTTCAAGCGGCTCAGAAAATGATGTCGAGAATACGTCTGCATCTTCAAAGCTAGCACAGTGTGTTTCATCATCATTCGCGTAAGCAATTCCCTCATCATTGCCATTCATCTTCTCCAAGACATCATCATCTTTCCCGGGATCGAAATCTGCTGTGCTCTTGCATCCAGGGGAATTCAAACCCAACAATCCCTTCTTCCTAAAATGAGCCTCAAAGTATGCCTTCTTCTCAATCACCGAACCTGGTTTCGAGCATTTCTCAACCTCTTCAAGATACCTATTGTGGGAAAACGACGACCTCCTCTCCCAACACAGTGCTTCGTTTTCAAACCTTCCGAAGGAGATCGAACCAGAATGCACAGAATCTACCTGTTGAGTTTGGATCACAATTAACAGGACAAGTAAACACACACAGTTCATTCGTTATACATTTAAGCTCAACTACAAATTCATGAATCTCTGCACGAATCAATCCTATAATCATACAGAACAACAGTTCATCCTTCAATTCTACAGCAAATTATGCAATCAGTGAAGAAATCAATGTTCAGAAAAAATCCAGATCCATAACCGTAACCGCAACATAACCAAGTGTATAAATTATCAAACAACTTCAAAAACTATATTTACGCATTCAAATCAAATCGACAAATGCTACATATCTACAGATCCGAGATTTTGGAAATCAAATCACGAGTAAAGAAACAGAAGCGGTTACCTCAAAATCAAGCCTGAAAGGCTCCTCAATCTCACCCGCCATATTTCAACTGCCACAACAAATAACTTCACTCAATCACTCGGCATTGGGACGCGAAGCAAATTTAGCGATTCGTTAAACTACCACGTTAGCATCACACCTCAAATTCGACGAAAATCATAAAAAAAATTGTTATCCTGAACTCACCAGATCATCCAACAGTACCGAGACAGCACTCCAGCGTTGTTTTTTTCTTGGAATCAAAGCTAACAAAATCAGGAATAACTTGCTCGCGTCAACAAACAGGGCCCCCCCCTCAATTTCTTCAGGAAACGATCCCAATCCCCTTTCCGGATCCGTGTGCTGCTGCAACGACTCGCAAGGAAGATGAAAAAGCAAAATGGAGGAGTGAGAGAGTGCAGTAGAGCGAGAGCGAGAGCGGTTGTTGAAACTCTACACACATCCAACAATGGCATGTGTACTTCTTCGTGGAGAATAGTAATCAGGTACATGACGGTGCATGTGCGGCTGTCCTCTTTTTGTCCGTTTCTGAATCCCACGTGGACCCCATCTCAGTCGTTGACTAAATCCAACGGCTCAGATCACTTCTCATGGGTCAGGCGGTGTATGCACTGTCCGCTGATGATTAAACACTGCACTTGGGAAGTTATCTCCGCGAAAAGGCTCTAATTATTGCTAGCTTTATTAAATTTTTTTGGGCTACAAATTATATACTACTAAATTAATTTTTTTAAATATAAATCAAATAATTTAATTATATCATTTGGGTTGTTTTAAGAAAATGAATTAATTAATTATGGCAATTAAATGTTTCTCAACCAAAAAGGAACACAGGCTATTAAAATGATTGTGATTTTCCAATTGTCCAATTATTTTTCAGCTTTAATGAGTCAAAAAAAAAAAATAGTTTAGATTAGAGAATTGACGCCCTAACTGCACATGTCAGTTTTTTCATGTGTGTTTGTTCGGGCATTTGTATTTTGAGTTGAGATTTGAATAGTAAAAATTTTGAATTTGAATAGTTGTACGATGTGATATAAATAAGTGTTGATGTGATGTTTTGAATGTAAAATTAATTTTTAGTATAATATAAAAAATAAAAAATAGGTGTTTGATTTGATATTTCTGAAAAAAAAAAAAAAAAAAAAATTGAAAGAATAGTGTAAATCCAATCCAATCTCCCAAACAAACACACCCAAAATCTTTCCATTTTGATTTGCTTTGAAATTTTCAATTTTATATTTAAATAATATTATTTAATTTAATAATTTGTGAAAAAATATATTTATTTACTTTTTTATTGATACAATTTTTTTTGAATACTACTATTATAGTAGTACATACTAACACAATATATATTATATTATATATATATTAAAAAAATTAATAATAAAATATAAAATATTCTATATATATTTTTACTAAATTCAAATAAGATTATTTTAATTGTATTAAGTAGTTGAAAGCTATATAAAAATATTTTTTCATTTACTTTTATTGTAAAAATAATAGTTTAATGATAAATATTTAAGAAATTAGAAGTATTTGTATGGAACATAATCCATAATTATTTAAAATTACTCATAAAACCAGCACTATTTGTTTTTTCATATAAACTTTTTAATATTAATATTAGATTGATCTGCAGTTAAAAAATAAAAATGTTCTTATTAGATTGTGTGCTATAAAAATAATGACATTTGTATAATATATTAAAAATTGTAAGAATATTAATTATGTTAAATAGGTAGTATACTTACTAAATTAGGAAATAATATTTTTGTTTTAAAATGGATAAAAATGAAAAATTATATCATATTTATAGCACAGAAGATTCAATATAAAGAAAAAAAAAACATAAAGTAAACATATATTTTCGAAAAATATATTTTTTATAATTCAAATTTTATGCTATTTTTTTAATTATCATAAAAAAATATTTATTTTTAAAACTCGTATTCGGACCAAAAAAAAATATAAAATTCAATTACAAAAATAGTAAGATTCAAATAGTAAAAACTTGTATAGAAATTTTTAAAAATAAAAAAATAAAATCACACACACACATCCCATTTCTTCTTTAACAAAATTTTCTTTTATAATTATTTGTGTTTGTAAAGTATAACTGTAGGGGGCGGATCAGCATTGATGCTATAGTCAAAGTCATCACCGCTGTTCTTAATTAATTTTGGCCGTTAGAGTGGCTGTTATTTATTTATTTTATGGGCAAATATTGGATGTTATTTATTTAAAAAAAAAATTAATAACGTGATAATTCAACAATATTTTTGAAATTTGTTCTTAATTTGTGTCGAAATATTTAAACTTATGACTTGATGGTAACAAAAACTAATTTTAAATCACTAGCCATTGTTTTTTTTTATATATATATATAAAGAATCTAACCTTAAATCTCACTACCGTCTAATAGGATTTGTTTTTAGTATTTTAAGATAATACAATTTTTCATAAATATTATTAAAAATAACAATATACATATATTAACATAGTACATATTTTATTCATTCATAAAAAATAAATATAATTTAATACAAAATATTTTTTATATTAGCCTGTGCTCTAAACCCTTAACATAAAAATATATTTATCCAAATGCGGCTGTAACAGTACTGAATTCATAATTCAACACTGTGTTGAACAACACATCGTGTGCTATTAAACCGTACATAATATTCCTAAAAATAACACATTGTATATGTTAATATAATACAAATATAGCATATGAACAAAACACACATGCAATAGTTTCAACAACACACAATATTACTACAGACAAAACACGGTCAGACAACACATTGTATATATTAATATAATACAAATACATGACATGAACTAACAACACATGTTATAGTCTCATAAAACACCAACAGTTGATTTTAGCACATGATATACTTGCATACAACACACTTATTATTATTGAATAACAACACATACATTTATTATACATAGTATGTGCTGTGTATAATACTAATATGTGTTTTGTGTAATACTAACGTGTACTGTTTGTATATATAACGTGTGTTGATGTAAAAAATTAGTATGGTACTAATTTTTACAAATCAGCACCGTAATGATCCCTTTATCCAAAATATACAAAGTAAACAAACCTTGTATTTTGACCAATTGACCAATTGAAAGGGTTACCATAATTGGTTTCCGAAACAATTAGAAAATAAGGTTTAAAATTTAATATATAAACAAAAGAGAATGGATGTCGGAATAGGCTGGTGGTGGTTGGTGTTGAAATATTTTAGATATTCGTTTTAGATTTAGTATATTTATATCTAGATTTGATTTTATTTATAAATTAGATTATTTAAATTTGAATCTATGAGTCTATTTTGTATTGCCTATATATAGACTCCTTATTTTAATGATCAATAACACAATCTTATTATTTTCTCCTAAAATTTCTAACATGGTATTAGAGCCTATTTTCCTCATGCCGTAGATATAGCCTATCAACCCGTGTTTCTTCGGGTACATTCAACCTAGATTGTACCCGAAGGTCTTGTGATTTTGAGATCATGCCTTTGCAAGTTGTATTTTTGCAAATCTGTCTCGTCTCGTCTCCGATCTGTCATATGTCCGCTGCTTGTTTGTTGCTTGTGTGCAATATAAAATCTTCGCTTGCCTGTTTCCTGCGTGCGATCTGAAACGATCTGTCATACGTCCGTTGTCTGTCTGTTGCTGCGTGCGATTTGCCAACTATCGTTGTCTGTCTGTTGTTGCGTGCGATATGCTATTTGTCGTTGTCTTTCTGTTGCCTGCGTGAGATCTGCCATATTTCGTTGCTTATTTGTTGCCGAAAATCTATCTATAATATGTCATATTTTCGTTGTTTGTCTTTTTTCGGCATGAGATCTGATCTGTCCGATGTTTGCAATTATGGTTTTCGGCTCCGGTGGAACGTCATCTCGTTTTTCGGCTCCGGTGGAGTCATCTCGTTTTTTACTCCGGTGGAGCGTCATCTCGTTTTCCGGCTCCGGTGGAGCATCATCTCGTTTTCGGCTCAAGTGGAGTCGTGTTGTTTTCGGCTCCGGTAGAGTCATGTCGTTTTCGGCTCCGGTGGAGTCATGTCGTCTTTTGCTCTGATGGAGTCATGTGGTTTTTGGCTCCGGTGGAGTCATGTCGTTTTCAGCTCCGGTGGAGTCATCTCGTGTTCGGCTTCGGTGGAGTCATGTTGTTTTAGGCTCCGGTGGAGTCATATCGTTTTCGGCTCCGATGGAGTCATCTCGTTTTCGACTCCAGTGGAGAGTCATCTCGTTTTCGACTCCGGTGGAGAGTCATCTCGTTTTTGGCTCCAGTGGAGAGTCATCTCGTTTTCGACTCCGGTGGAGAGTCATCTCGTTTTTTACTCCAGTGGGTGGAGAGTCAACTGCTAATTTTATTTATGTTTTCTTTTTGCGTTTATATTCAGATTTCCCATCAAACTCAAGTTGGTTTCTGTTATACCACTTGAGTTTGAATGGGGATGTTGAGATATTTTAGATATTAAGTTTTAGATTTAGTAGATTTATATCTAGATTTGATTTTATTCATAGATTAGATTACTTATATTTGAGTCTATCGAGTCTATTTTGTATTGTCTATATATAGACTCCTTATTTTAATGATCAATAATGCAATCTCATTATTTTCTCCCAAAATTTCTAACAGTTGGGCTTGTGATCGTGATTCAAACCTCCAACGCCTTAGGTTACCTTCTACGTAAGGAAATTACTGGGAATTTTACAATTAGAAAATGAGATTTAAAATTAAATAAAAGACAAAAAATATCTAAAACATAGAAATGAAAGAAATTACTACTACATTTTTTGGTTGCCTTGTGATGTGTTATCTAGGTTTCTAATCCCTTGTCACCTATCAATTTGCACTTTATATCCAAACAAATCTCAGCTTTAAAAAAAAAAGTGGTTAATTCTTTCATCTTGGGTGTGTTTGTTTATGAGTTTGGGTTTTAGGGTTTGAATTTTTGAATAGCAATTGAATTCGAATAGTTGTTTAATGTGATATGAATAGACGATGATATAATATTTTGAACGTAAAATATATTTGTAGTACTTTCACTGTATGGCTCTAAAAGTCTCATTTACTTTTTACGTTATTATACTTAACATTAAAAATATCATTATATTTGTATAATTTTTTATACAAATGTCATTGTAATAGTATTATAAGACACTAATAAAAATATTTTTACTGTTTTCTCTTAATTTGTATTACATTTTCATATAATAATTAATATTCAAATATCAACACATAAAAAGTAAATGAGACCCTTAGAGCCAGATGAATGTAGTATAATATATATATAAAAAAATAATTAAAAAAAAAAATATTTGATTTAATTTATTTTAGTAAAAATATCGTATAAAATCCATAGAAGAATATAATTAGAATATATTCTTCCAATCTTCTCACCACTTGATGTGGAAAAACTCCTCATTTTCATTACTTAATTAGTGGTTTTTTTTTGTCATATATAGTTCAGCTACTATGATTTGTTTTATCGAATTCAATTTACAGACTATTAAATTTGATTGAAAATTTATTTAGGATGTAATAAAGTAGTAGTTATATTTCCCACATTGCCAAAAAATTACTCGCTCCATTCAAATTAAAAATATATATTGTCATTTTTATCTGTCAAAGTAAAATGTATCAATATCATTTTATAAGTAAAAATATCATGTAAATACCAAAATTTCCCTATTATTGTTATTATTCTTTTAATATTATAAATATCAAAAGTAAAAAACATTTTACACCTACATATTTATAAGAATATTAATATACTTAAAATAATCATTAGGAGTATTATATTTTATAAATTATTTTCTTGGGCTTTTGGTCTTCAACTGTTTTATGGGATTGTTGTCTTAAAGTGACAGGCCTTCTTTGGCCTCAGCTCTTTAATTTAGGACTTTCTTATAGGGCTTTTTCATTCAAGGCTTTTTTGGGCCTAAGGTTAATAGTATTTAAAATCTTTTAGGATGTATTTGGTTATTGTTTTAATTCGGTTTACATTATAGTACTTTTTATTTTTATTTTTAATATTATATTATATGTACTAAAATATTTTATTCACATATAATATAATATTAAAAAATAAAAACATATTTAAAATATTTTAATTTAAAATGGATATATTAATAAATAATTAAGAATGTATTAGTAAAATTAATTATAATATAATACAAATAATTATAGATTAAGATTAAAATAATTAATTAATTAGTCTAATAAAAAATTTTAAAAATAATGAATTATAAAATTTTAAATATATAATTCAAGTGACATAACATATGGGACGTATGAAAATAGAAAATGTGAGATTATATGTGCAATGGATGGAGTATAATTTAGAATGGAATATACGGATGTTTTATGTTTGTAATTTGAGATGTTACATATAATAAGTAATTAATTTCAACTACTCATTCTGTCCCGTTGGAAGGGTGACGTTTATTTTTTGCACATAAATTTTTGAATATTAGTATTATATTTTATTGTAGTAAAAAAAACAAAAATACTCTTATTAGTATGATGTAATATAAAAATAATGGCATTTGTGTAATATTTTGTAAGTTGAAAGGGTATTTATTATGTTAAGTAGGTAGTACAATTACTAAATTATGAAATAGTAATCTTGTTTTGGGACGAACGAAAATAAAAAATAGCAACCTTTCAATGGAACGGAGGGAGTATTATACTATGGACACCATTATGTGATTATTACAGTATTACCCCCAAGTTAATTTATTTTATCATAACGGATTCCAGCATTAGTTGGTCATTTTTTATTGATTTAAATTGTAATCTAGATGTAATGTTTGTGACGAAAAAATAATAGTATCTCCTTATATTAGCATTATAAGATACTAATATAAGTATTTTTTAATTTTTTTAAATTAAAACTACGTTTTAATATAATAATTAATTTTTAAAGATTAATACATAAAAAAAAAAAATAGAGAGAGAGTTTCCAAGTAAACACAGCCAAATGTTACATGTTTATCTTAATTATCCTTTCGTTTTCTTTTATATATATATTTAATATTATTATATTAATTATACATAAGTATAAAAAATTTATTTATTGATATTATATGAATTTTAATTTTCTGCAAGTGACATGCATATTGAAATATTGACAAGAAATGTACAAAAATGAATTAATGATATAAGGTGTTTTGAATTGAAGAATAATTATGCATATGGTTAGGTAGAAGTCATTTCAAAAATTGGAATCATTGGACTTGTACATTACAATAATCAAATGCAATTTTTTGAGGTCCAAATTGCATTCCAAAGCATAATAGTATATAAATAAATATATATATATATATATATATATTCTTGCCTACTTACTTACACATGCTGATGCATCACCAATTTTATTGAAATTATTAACTTAATAAATCAATAAACATGTATAAACCCCAAAATATGGAGACATATAGGCTGGTATTATATGATAATATTGCTCCGTCTCCATTTTAAAAACAAAATTAATAATAATAATGACCATAATAATAATAATAATTAATATTTATTACTCTCTCCGTCCCAAAAGTATAGTCTTAGTGTGTTGGGCACGAGATTTGAGAAATATTGATATTATATTGTAGTTGGTAAAAAGTAAGGATAAATGATTTTTTTTTTACCCTTGTGAGTATATTAATGTAAAAAGTAGTGGCAATTGTGTAATAATAATGAAAAAGTAGGGATAGTTTTACGGTGATATGGTTATTTATGGAAATGAGACTATTGTTTTGGGACGGACAAAAATGGTAAACAAGACTATTGTATTGGGATGAATGAAGTATTATTTTACCCAAATGTATGTGTGTTTGAAAGTTGTTTGAAGTGATATAACTTTTATTTTAATATAATATAAAAAAAAAGAAAAAAAAGAAGAAGAATTGGTTTAATATTTCTAGAAAGAGATATTTTTATAAACAATAAAAATATGATAAAAATCCACAAGCCTGTAGGATTGTAATAAATTGCTCATTTTTCCCTTGCATATGGATATTATTCCCATGCATGGAATGGAACGTTTAATTATAAGTTTGATTATTTTTGTTTTGATTTTATATTTAAATGCTAGTAGTTTTAAATACATAATAACTCCGTCCCTCATATTGTATCTGCTACACTGTAGACATGATATTTTAAGAGGGATGTAATTAATAGATAATTAAGAATGTATTAGTGAAAATAATTATAAATTAAAATTAAGATAACTAATTAGTTTAATTAAAATTTAAAAAAATAAAATTAAAAGGTTTAAAATAAGATTAAAGTATATAATCATTTTTTTTAAAAAAAAAAGTGACATGATATGTGGGACGGACAGAAACGGAAACATGGACATGGTATGTGGGACGGAGGAAAGTATTATTTTAAAAAAGATAATAATATATAATTACCAAAAAAAAAAGAAAGTGAAAGTACACTAGGGTGTGTTTGTTTGGGGGATTGGATTTTCAATCCACTATTCATCCTTTTTTTTTTCCCCAAAAATATTAAATAAAACAACTATTTTTCATTTTTTATATTATATTAAAAATCAATTTTACGTTCAAAACATCACATCAAACTCCTATTTATATCACATTATACAACTATTCAAATTCAAAATTTTTACTATTCAAATCTCAACTCAAAATCTAAACCGCAAACAAACACACCCTTAGAGCCCCTTTTTGGCAAATTGTATTATCAATTTCCACGTCTTCTTGGAACTGCATGGGGCAGGTTCCTAATAATAATAATAATAATTTTAAATTTTCGCTAATATTTTAACATGTATATATAATAAATTTATATGGTGAAAATATATTAGATTGGATTAAGAATAGTTTGAAATGATTTTAGGCAAAATAGCAAACAAAAAAAATAAATAAATAAATTGAATTTTGAAATTCGCTGAAAATATTTGTTGGTCCTAAATTATATGTATTTATCTTTTTAATCGAATGTTGGTCCTAAAATATTGTTTTATCTGCTTATAGTTTAATTAATGTTGCAAAAAAAGTGCTTAAACTGTGAGCATTATTACAAACTAATAGATAAAATAAGAGAAAATTACAAAAATGTTTTTACAACATTATCTAAACTACAAGTAAAACAAAATTTTAGAACCACGGAAATATTTTTAGTGAATTTTGCAAATCACAAAAGATTTTTTTTGTTATTTTGCCATGATTTTAACAATTATTGAATCAATATTTTTCCATTTTAATTAAAATATTATTGTTATCCCAAAATATAATTTTAAATAAAATGCATTGAACAAGACTAAATATTCCAGGCGAGCAGCCACAGACAGCCTGATGTACGGCCCAGAAGAAGGATCGGGACAGCCCAATAATTATATTTTAATTTAAATAATCATATTAAATATTCATTTGTAGCATATTGAATCTTTATTAATTTAAATCAAACCTAAAAACGTCCACACATCATACATGCAGGTGGATTTTTTTGATGAGTTTGAAAAAAAATTGATTTAAATTTAGTATAAAAATAATGCTTGATGAGATATTTTATAGAAAAAAAAAATATATATATATTTTTTTCTTTAAAAGAATACAGAATCGAAATAGTAAAATTTGAAAATATTGCTAAAGAAACATAAACGCTTATAAATAGTTTCCATAAAACGTCGCATTCCTCAGCTTGTTTAGTTGAGGATTTGAAATTGAGTTTGTAATATATATTTTTAATTATTTCTAGTATAATCATGTACGATAATATTTCAAATAAAAAATAAATTTTGATAAAATAAGGTTATATTATCTTCGTTTGGCTCTAAAGTGTCACATTTAATTTTTTGTGTATTGATATTTGAATATTAATTATTATATTAAAATATAATAAAAATTACAAAAAAATTATAAAAATATTTCAACTAATGTTTTACAATATTAATAGAAAAATATTTATACAAGAAAAATTATATAAATATAAAAATATTTTTAATGTTAACTATAATGACGCAAAATGTAAATGTGACCGACGGAAAGAAATATATTTAATTTTTTTTTTGAAAAATAGGATATATTTTCGAAAATACCCTCCACTAATAGTAGCGGCGGTGAGATCTGTTACGTGGACAGAAACGACAATTAACGCATCGCGTGAAATTTAAGGCGCGGAGATTTAGGCAAAAAGTAGAAAGCGTGTTCCCTTCAACCACGACATTTAATAATAATAATAATAATATACATAGGGAGCCTCTCCATTTTCAATATTCCTGTAAAAAATCTGCCAAGCTTTTTTTTTTTTGTTGGGTGGCTGAAATCAGGGAAATATTTTTCATATTGCTACATATACATCAATACATATATTATATTTTATATTCCGCTGTGAAAAAGGGTAGAGATCTAAGTTGAGGGCTAGGGTCGCCAGCATATATTATCACAATCGCTTTCAACATAAAAACTGGAATAAATATTTTTCAGAAAAAAAAAAAAAAAAAGGGAATAACAAAAAAAGAGGGTGGAGAAATAAACAAGTAGTAGTATGTTTGTACCCCACTAGTTGGACCAGACAAGATGTAAAGCCTGAGGACATGGCTTTTTCTTCTAACATGCGTAATGATTGTGGACGAGAGAGATTTGATAAGGCTGCTGCTGCTGTGCTTCTTTCTAGTGGTGGTGCTAATAATAATAATAATTCATACAAAAGATACACACACACGCATGAATGAATGAATGCATGCATGCTTTTTGATTCTTGGTTTTTAATTTGATTCATCATGGTGATATTGATTGATCATGACTGATGTTGCCTTTTCTTTTCCCACTCCTAATATATCTATATATATATATATCTCACCTTTTTTTCTTTTCTTTTTTTTTTTTGTTTTTCCACCATGGAATAGATGTTTGGTTGCTTGCTTCAAGGGTCCTGATTCTTGGGAAGAAGAGAACTGTTGATGACAAGTGATGTGTGTCTGGTTAAATAATTAAAATTAGCCTTCATTCTTCTTTCCCAATCACTCCAAAAAACACAAATGATGACGATGATTAGAGTCCGAGGAGAATGTAGTAGGCGAGAGTGATGGGCAATGCTATCAACATCCCAAATATGACCCTGGAAATGGAAATGGAATTTCATTAGATTTCAAAATTTTAAAGGTGGGGTGGGGGTGGGGGTGGGGTGTATTCTTGAAAATTGACTATAATTTATTTTCTTACATGGTGCTGAGGATTGCTGGATGGACATTGTATTCTTTGGCAAACACGAAAGGGACAATCCCTTGTGGCAGTGCAGCCTGCGGGGGAGGAAGAACGCATGTGTCAGAATAGGGAAAACGTTACAATAATATGCCAGCCAGCCAGCCAATGAATTAATAAATAACACATGTGCCTTTGCCATTGGCAACCTTCCCTTATTCAGAATAAAATAGCTTATCCCCTTTTTATTTTAACTACGTACGTGACATCATAAATAAATTAATTAATAAATAAATAAATCAGATACCTGTACAATGGCGACGTGGAGAAGGGTGCCACGGAGACCAACAGCAATGGAAGCTACAGCCATGACAGCAGGGCCAGTGATAAACCTCACAGCCATGGCAAAAGATGCCACGGTTTTGCCGCAAGCAATTAGCTTGGGTTGGAGGGCCATGAATAGACCTGTCGAATCATCGATTTTGTTACCAAATCCATTCTTTTATTGCATTTTATTTTTATTTTTATGTTTTTTACCTAAGCTGAACATGGCCATGCCGAGGCCAGCGTCGGAGAGGATGGCGATGGACTTGTCAATGATTTTGGGCATGTGCACATTCCACCTGAAATCAAACAAACGCATTAATTATTAATGGATTATTATTATTATTGAAATCCACTTAACTTAGTTGTCGAATCGTTGATTGGATTTTACCTATACGAGACCAGAGACCAAATGAGGCCAATCAGGCTGGAGTAAGTGTTGGGGTTTCGGATAAGCTTACGCCAAACCATGATCAAGATCAGGCGCGTCATTACACTCGCCGGCGGCATGTGTTTTCCGGCGAACTTTGGATCGTGTTCGGCTGTGGAGCTTGATCCTATTTTGGAAAGTCCTGTTGGAATCTCCTTTTTCCCTCGCTCCTCGTTCGTGTGACGATCGGCGCCGAAGCTGAAGTCCTCGCGAACAAAATCCCCTGTTTTTGAGGAAAAATTGATAAACAATTCGATCGACGACAAAAGAATTGCGGAAGAAAACAAATGGAAATTATATTGACCTTTTGTCTCCCCGTTTTGGGGGCGATCGGTAACCAACAGCCTGATTTCCTTGGCGCCTTGATCGGACTTTCGGGATTGCTCGGAAACGCCGAAATCTGTGCCGCCGAAGACGTGGAGGTTCCCTCCGCCGACTTCCGACACCGGCGACGCGCTGGAGCTCCATACGAACATGTGAAGCTCTTTAGCGTCGTGATTACCTTTACCGCCGTGCTGCGACGCTGCCGCCGGTTGATGAGGTTTGGCCATTTTCGGCACAGCAGAGGCGATTTCTGGATTTGGAGCGGGGTAAGAAGCGGCGGCCGTCGCCGGAGGCGGATAGTAACCGAATCTCGGGGAGTTCATCGCCGGAGCTCCGGCGATGGAGTTCTCTTCGAAATTCGACGGCCGTGGGGTCGGTCCTCTCGACGACTGCACTGAATACATATCGGCGACATTGAAATTAGACAATCTACCTGTATCGGAGTTCCCAAAATTCGAAAGCCTGCCAGGGAATCCCATCATCGAGTGAAAATCCGTGTGGTTGAAATTGGAAGCTCTCGGAGTCTGATTTCTGGAAGAACTTAAGCTGTAAATCTCAGCGCCGGTTAAGTTCGACGGTCGGGGAGTTAATCCGGAGAAGGATCTCCGAGAGGCGTTGGATTTTCTGACAGTTACGTGCAGCTTACCGTCGTCACCAATCGCTGCGTCTGTTTCGAGAAAGTCCTGGCCGTCGAGCGAAACGACGTCGGATTCGACCTTGAACGACACAATGGAGGCGGCGGTTTCGGGGAACTGCTCCATAATCAGCATTTTAGCGCCGCGGTACTCGAACAGGAAGAGAAGCAGAGTGTACCAGATGATGCACTGGAGCACGACGATCTGCACCATTAGGTCGCCGGAATATTCGCCGTACATTGAAACCAGCAACGGAATCCCCATGACCAGAGTGTTAGGCAGAGTGGAGAGCGAGAAGATGGTGACTGACCACTCCAGACTGCCATTTCTGGTGAAATTACTCCACAGCCCTAACAGCACCAACATGATGATCTTCTGCAACGTATCCGCCGCGAGGAACCTAAAATTCATCGTGTAAATATTGTTCCTCGCGATGAAATGGAACGACAAAAGCGGAACCGCGAAAATCGCGACGAATCGGTTGATTCCGGAGCACTGATCGGGCGTGAAGATCTTCCACCACCGGACGGAACCGTAAGCCAGAATCATCGCAACATAGAGAGGAACCATGGCAGTAAGGACCACATACAGATCGTGCCAGCTGATCATTTTGCTCCTCTTCCAACTATCCGACGAAATCAAAATTAAAATCAAAATCAAAACAAAAAAACCTGATTATCAACTGTGCAATACGCCGCCGGCCGATCGAAACCCTAAATCAGTTACACCGCCGCTGCTGCAGGCCGCACTGATCTCAAATCGACTGCAATGGTGGCATCCGCATGGCCTCTGCAGCCCAAAATAGTGCAGAGTACTTTTTAGAGAGAGAAAGAGGTGTGGAATTGTGCAGTGCGGTATCTGTATGCATATATATATATATTATATAGATAAATCGACACATTTTTTTAAGAAAAAAATAAAATAAAAGTGTAAATAAATATATGCAATCCGCGTCACATTTTGTGTGATTAACAAATCCATAATTAGTAAAAACTAATTACTTTATTTTACCTCTCATTAATTTATTACATTTACACAGCTAATCTTACTAAGGAATGTTTTTTTTTTTTTTTTTTGCCTTTTTTTAAGGTGGTCTATGTCACTAGCGTAGGATTTAAATTCAATTTTCATTATTAAAAAGTTGATCTACCCTTTCTATTTTTATATATTGATTTAAATTTAATTCTTTTATATTAAATTAAATAGTATAGCATAAATATGATGTACATCTAAAATATATTTAAATACTTGCAATATTATTTTATATATTTATAACACATTTGGCTCTATATATACAATTTCTGATCACTGATATATTTTTATTTACTTTGGGTGTACTTTTATTTGTGTATTTTTTTTTAAAAAAATAATAATTACAGTTATATTTTATTGTCATATATTTTAATTTACTTTGGGTGTACTTTTATTTGTATATTTTTTTTAAAAAAATAATAATAATTACAGTTATATTTTATTGTGAAAAAAAGTAAAAAAATTACTATATATTTCTCATACTTCTAAAGAAAATTTTATACCAGTCATTCTCGTTCATGTATCACAATTTCTTGAAATTTTTTCTCATTCGTGCAACCGATCACTCTTATTTTCCCTTAAATTTATTAATATTCTTTGAGATTTCTAAATTTGCACGGATATTATTTTATTATCGGAGTTTAATTGTAAAATAAAATATATAATGTAAGAATTATAATGTGACAAATTTATTGATATATAATCCAATTATGTACCTATAATTTAAATAAAATCATGATATGTATATATATATATGTGTATATAGATATATATTCATTCAATCATTATTAGTTACAAATTTATAGAAAATTTGCAATAGAAAGTTAAATATATAGATTTTAAATACAACCGTGATTATATATATTATTATATCAATTTTAGTTTACTTACTGTTTTAATTATACCTATAAAAAGAGAAATTGTAATATTAATAATCTATATTACTTTTGTATAAAATTTATAATTATATTAGTGTAAAATATTACGTAAACATTATAAAAATATTATACACAATATAACTTTATTATATGATTCGATATAATATTAGCAAAATATCTATCTATATATATATATATAAAAATTGTTCTTAAAATTTATTTATAATATTCTATATATTTTAAATACTTACTATGTATAAATCTTAGAATTTGTTTGTTTGTTTTGTTTTTGGTTTAAAGGAAAAGTTTTTTCTTTTTATGTGAGGTTTCTAAAAAATTATGTAATTAATATAAAAATAATGAGAGTATGTAATATATTAATTTTTGTAGAAAAATGTGTTAAGAAAATTTTTCACAAAGCAAAGGGATTTATATTAAATATACAGATAGATATTTACACAATTTTGTATAATTTTCTTTTTCATATTTATTAATATTTTAATTTTTATTTTAAAACATGAAAATAAAATAAAAATAAAAATAATTTTATTAAAAAAAATTAAAAAGAATCAATAAAAATAAAAAGAGTCAAAAAAATTTTCTTATTCAACTATTTTATTTATAATAACACATCTAAAAAGTAAATATATAAAAAATAAAATTATTCAAACATACGTCATAAACACTTATGCATATAACGGCTTAATACTCATGCATATACCCCAACTGATAGAATTAGTGCTCTCACGGAGTGTCTTAATTGACTCATTCTTCGGGAGATTGACTGATATCAACCACATTCAAAGATATCTACAACTATAAATATAATATTTAAGTAACCACCAATCATACATTGACTGTCGGTGTTGGTACTCCAAGGATATTGTTGCATATGTGCACTAAAGATATATCTCAATGTAATTTTTACGTACATACAGTATGAAGTAATATGTTTCGCTAACCCGTATCTAAGCCCGGGTTATCTCCTGTTGAAAAATGTGTCTAGTTTGTTTCAAAATATTCAATTGCTTTTACTAACTAGGGATAAATTCATCATTATCGTGTTTCAACGACTTCTTGAAGTGTAAGTAAATAAAAAGAACACATGTTTAACATAGATGGCTAAACAAGTCAGAAATGACATGATTAAATTTGTTGGTTGCTACTAATGCATCACTACTTTCACAATTTGATTGTTTTTTAGACATATTACGTAGTAATCCACACAGTAGCACACACAACAAGATTTAGTCCACCAAGGTTGAGAGAGGAAGTGCTCCCACTGAATACGCGAATTAGTCCCTCTCTGTGAAAATAACTGAAATAAACTACATTTGAAAATACTTAATAATATATAAATAATGCTTAAAAAATCATTATTTATACTTCACATGTGAGTGTTTGTATTCAAATCACATTATTACTTACCTACTTAAAAGATTCACATACTATGAGGCATATCTTAACTACCTATAATAATAGTCTCATATGCTTCAATAAAGAATATATATATGCTCTAATATATATATGATTGGAAAAACAATCATTTTTTGTTCAAAATATATATTTGTTGACGGTAACTAAGGGTGCATTCACCATGATAGTTTTCTGCGACAACCCAAATTGTCAGAAAATATAAACAACACGTATTTATTATGAATGGTTAAAAAAGTCAATAATAACTTAGATAAGTTGTATGATATATGTATATTATAGTCTAATATTTACTTGTAGATGTCTAACAAGGTCATAAGTGTCTAAGTTGAATTATATTAGCTGTTAGAATACATGACTGCTACCACAAATTGAAAATTTTTAGACCTATTACATATTAATTTACACTGTAGCGCACACAACAACTTTCGGTTAATGACATCTAAGCATAGGGTCTGATTCGGCTAAGCAGGTGAATACTTCAGAGCAGTTGTATCGTACCCCCAACCTAACTTCGTATACAAAATCCTACTAGTTGTGTACCTACTGTAACCTTTTATATAACTGAACAACATAATCTCATGATAAAGTTTTCTAATTGTATACCTTCATAGCACCTATTAATACTTGTGAGGATTTAGCATATGACCAAAAGTAACCTTGATAGGTTGGTACCTACGTTACCACGTCCATGTGCTTCGATACATCAATTGTACACTCCCTAAAATGTTTCGTATGACTCTAATACATTTCCAAAACCCTATGACTTTAAAGTATCATATAAAAATAAGCATTGTCACATACTTGTTGTTTGTGTCTATATACGTTAGTACATTCTTCCATTTGTCTTAGTGTACTAATTACAATAAATTGTGTATATGTCTAATGGATGCAATACAATGTGCTCCAATTACTTTATACCGATTTGATTATTACTTTCGAAACGTCAATGACCTTGATAGCACAGTAATACAATACTATGTCATTGCGCTTCACAAGATCTAAATACTCAATATATAATTTGTGTGCTTCTATTATGTTTCTTGATATTTGTGTCATTGAATTATCATACACAATAAGGGAGTGTCAAATACCCATTGAAATTATAACTGCAGCTGAATGCAAGTGGGGTCTTGCTGCTGTATATTTACATATAGTATTACATTATATCAATGACACCAAAACGGTTCAAACCCGGTTACTGTTGATTAAAATGTTAAATCGAAACCGAACCTTTCGAATGACGATTTCGATTACGATTTAACAATTTTGATTACGGTTTAAAAACCGTGGATTTATGTATATTCATTTTTAATATTTTAATTTTTTTCTTTTTAGATTTTTCTAAATTAAAAAATTATTCAAAAACATTTAATTTCGATTTTAATCTTATTCATATTTATTTGTTATTTATTTATTATGTAAAATCATATAAATAATAGTGGCTAAGATTGTTACGATATAAAAAGTAATCAAAATAATAAAATTTCTAAGTAATTAAATTAAATTATAAGAATATTAACATTCATAATTAGTAATAACTAGTTACTTTATTTTACCCCTCATTAATTCATCACATTTACACAGCTAATCTTACCAAGGAATGTGTTTTTTTGGAATAAGAGTAATGTCTTACATAATTTTTTTTAAAATTTTTGTGTCCGGTTAATTAAGTATAAATAAATTTCAATTAAATAAAAATTGAAATCGAAAAAAAAAAAAAAAGGCATCTCATATACAGTGCATGTTACCTCTTACCACAACATCGCATTTTGAAGCAAACAACGTCTGTAGGTCAAATTTTCAATTCCAATTAATGCTTTGTTCAATTATGTTCTCCCAATTACAGACCTTAATTTATTTCTCTTTATTATTATTATTATTTTTTATTACATATACATATTGTGTATTTTTCCCATATTTTATGTTTATGTAAAAACTTAACACATAAAGGAAATATTTTGTATGTATTTATTTGTATCTTAAATATTTTCTTGAGCCCTTTGAATTTGAAAACAGGCTTTTAAATTTAAATATATTTACCTCACTTTTTTTTTTCTATGTTTTAGCAAAGACAAATTATGCTTGCTTTTAATTTTACACAAGTTTCAATATATATTAATTTCAATCAAAATAAATTATTTTTCTTTTATAAAATATTTAGGAAAATAAAATAAATATAGTAATAACACTTTTATACTCCCTCCGTCACACCACAATTGACACTATTTTTATCGTTGTATGTCCTGTAACAATCGACACATTTCTATTTTGGTGAAAATTATTAAATCTAAATATATTTAACAAATATAAATCAATTTAATTAACTACATAACATATAACATCATAAATGACGTAGGACCCACTCAAAACTCTTTTATTTCTATCTATCTCTTCAAAAAAATAAACATTTTTATCTATATTTAAAACTACACATCTTTTATAAAATTGATTTATATTAATTATAAATAAAAAAAAATATTTTTTTATTTACTTG